ATAGGGGGGGCGGTGCCCCCAACCCCCCAATCAGGCCCTGCTCTGAACCCCGACCAAGGGGCCTGCACCTAGGGGATTTGGGGCCTGCCTTCTGCCACCCAGGAGCAGGGCCTAAGCCAACAAGGTCGGTTATCTCCCGAGGGGTCCAGACTGCGAGAGGGCACAGGCCCGGCTGAGGGCCCCCCCCATCCCCCCCAAGTGCACAAATTTTTGTCACCGGGCCTCTAGTATAGGATAATTTCTTTTGCACTTTCATTTATATTATACCTATCGGTATACCTATGAATACAAGAGTAATCCCTGACCACAAATGATTTATAATTTAACTTTTTTTAGTTTGCAAAGAAGCATATTGGACTAATTATCTAATTTAGGTAATTATGTAACCCTAACTTAAAATCTGAGATCTCCTATATTTACATATATTTTATCTTGACTGTTCAAAAACATACACAGCGAGGAGGCAGATACAGAGATGATCAAAATTTTGATGGAAATGAGAAACCCAAAAATAAATCTCAGCATTTGCTCTAACTCACAGTGGCTGGCACCCCATCGAGTTGTCGAGCTCCATGATTCGACACCAAGATCCCATCCAAACCATGTTTAACTGCCTCCCTGGCATCATCTCCTAGAAAGAGCAAGACAATCATCATAAGAAAAGACTACCTAACAGAAGGCTTAGCTTTAGGGGTCAAAGCATCAAAATCAAAGGGAACCTGATCTCACACATATATACCTTGCTAGGAACCCGTAGCACAGACATACTAAGGGTTAGATCTAGAATAGCAGATCTATGTTGGTCAAAAAAAGTTAGCAGTCATAACAATTTAATTATAAAATAAAATTATCAATAGACTGTAAATTGACATGCACCTAAATTTATTTATCCTCATAAGGAAGCATTCCTGCTAAGTATGTTTTATTCTTAATAAGATCATACCATTTAGCAGTTAGCAGAATTACTCCTCTACAATTTGGTTTTTTTTTTAATCTTTATTGTTGAAAGTATTACATATGTCCCCTTTTTTCCCCTACAATTTGGATAGCATAAAAGAATATATAGCCTGTTTGGCTCAGTGGATAGAGCATCAGCCTGCAGACTGAAGGGTCCTGGGTTTGATTCCGGCAAGGGTACATGCCCGGGTTGTAGGCTCAATCCCCAGTAGGGGGCAAGCAAGAGGTAGCCAATCAATGATTCTCTCTTATCATTGATGTTTCTATCTCTTTCTCCCTTTCCCTTCCTCTCTGAAATCAATAAAAGTTAAAAAATTTTAAAAAAGAATATATAATTGGCAAGCACTTTAACAGGTAATGAACAACTCTAATTCAAAAACCTTTTTTAATACAAAGTTATAACTTCAATACTTATTTTAATTTATAACTTCAATACTTATTTTAATTTATAACTTCAATAATTATTTTAATTCTATAATTAAGTGTATTGTACCCATTGAATTACATAAGAATCTAATATTAAAATTATGTTTCTTCTCTAATTATGCTTCAAAATAGATTGATTTCTAAAAATACAATTTTAAAAGAGATTAACATTCTCTTAAATCAACTTCCAAAATATATTTTATATTTCATATTTGTTATTGTTTTTACAGTTTTGCACCTTATTTTATACATTAGGATTAAAGGAGATGACATAAGGGGGTTACATGAAATCCATTCGTGGTAGATTAGGGAGGAAGGAGAAAGCAAAGTGAGCAAATCTCTGGGATTGAATAAAAAGTAAAACAAATAAACACATAATTTTATATTGGTGGGCACAGAATAGTTAACAGTTAACAATTAACATCTATAATAATAAAAGCATAATATGCTAATTAGACCGAACATCCTTCTAGACGTCCTTCTGGAAGACCTTCCGGATTAAGCCGGGGCTGCGAGGGAAGCCAGTGCTGGCAGCTGGGGGAAGGAAGGCCTACTCTTGCACGAATTTTGTGCATTGGGCCTCTAGTGATAACAATAACAATGAGGGGTTCTGTGGTCTCCTGCTCTGGTAGGTCTGGAAAAAGCAAATTACCCTGACATTACAAAGATATGTTATCATAGATGCAAAAAGTCAATAGACAGGCCCTAGCAAGTTTGGCTCAGTGGACAGACCCTTGACCTGCAGACCAAAGGTCCCAAGTTTCTATTCTGGTCAAGGGCACTACATACCTAGGTTGCAGGTTCCTTCCCGGCGGGGGCCCTGGTCAGGGGGTGTGCAGCAGGCAACCAATTGATGTGTTTCTCTCACACTGATATTTCTCTCTGTTTTCCCTCTCTCTTCTACTCTCTAAAAATCAAAGGAAAAATATCCTTGGGTGAGGATTAAAAAAAAAAAAAAGACAACAGACAGGCTCAATTAAGGTAAAGATGGACCTTTGTAAAGGAAGATACTGGCCTGGGACATGACTACCCGCCATGACTTGCTTTTAGTTAGGAAGTTTAATTTCAGCCCATCCTATGCGGTTACCTTAGGTCTCTGAATTTGTAAGGCCCATCATGCAGGCCTCCTCTGAGTTTGTCAATTTTAGCATGTAGCTCCTTTTCCTCCACACATTTCCATTTTGGTAATAAATTAATCCAAAAGATGCACTGATGACCAACCATTGATTTGGATAGTGTGGTCCACTGTGCTAGGAAGGCTCATTTCTGGGAAGTTAGCATTTGTCTTGCCGAACAATAGACCACTGAAAATCGGGCAAGACCATAACCTTGGATGGAAGTCAAGGCCAAATTTTTCTCAAAAGTGAAAAGCAGGTAAATGGGAGGCCATCAGGTCTATGGGCCTTCATTAAGAAAAACATTCTGCATCACTTCTAACCAATATTTTGCTGTTTGTCTCACTTCTCTGTATTTTGCATCTAGTGTAACATTGACTTATAGCTTGAGGGCACACCATATACCTCTTCAGTTTTCATAATTTGACCAACTATATTTTATATTTTAAACTATTATTCTCAGCATGTTCCCAATAACAAACCATTTGCTAACAGAATAATGAAAGTAATGCTAGTTCTCAAGTTTACAAAAATAGTTGGTTCAAGGTTGTAATGAAAATCATAATTTGGGAACTTAAGCAGATGGGTACAGAAAATTGTACATATTTATTAATTCCCAATGGAGATCAAGGGGAGACCTGATTAAGAATAATAAGAAAGATTCACAGGAGAACCTGGAATTCTGATTGTTTTCAAATGTTATGCTTAAACACCATTTCCACACTGTTTCACAGAATACTAGATTTTAAATATTTCCATATTTTAAAGTGATGCTAGTATTACTTTTCTTCTAAAGTTATAGGTATATGAAAATGTTAAACCCATGTTTTATGGACTGAATGTGTGCATCCCCCCAAAAGCCTTGGGTTGCAGCCCTAACTTCCAAAGTGATAGTCTTTGGGGAATATTTAAGGTTAGATGAAGTCATGAAGGTGGGGCTCTCTTGATGGTATTAGTACCCTTATAAGAAGAAACCAGAGAACTTGCTCCCCAACCCTTCTATGTCCCCACAAAGAAGAGGTCATGTGAGCACACAGTGAAAAGGGGGCCTCTGAACCCAAGGAGAGAGCCTGCACCAGAGAATAAGCCTGGTGGAACCCTAATCTCAGAATTCCAGCCTCCTACATTGTAAGAAAATAAATTTCTATTGTTTAGGCCATCCAGTCTGTAGCATTTTGTTATGGCAGCCAAGCTGACAAAGACATCATGTCATCATGTCCTTGTTGCTCTTATCAGATCCAACTTTAATGCTGTTGTCAGATCCTTTAATGCTATGACAAACCCTAAAAGGCAATGAAATAGTATGAAAGGTGTTCTGATATATAAGTATCAGTGTTTAGTAACTACTTGCTATGTTATCTATTTGCCTTTAAGCCCGAGTTATTATGCATTTATTATATTCTGATAAATCATTGATATTCTACATTTTTTCATATTAAATATGAAACCTAATGTTTCTAGGAGACTGTTTTGGCTGTTTTATTCCAAGCATGCATTTCATCTTGTGAGATCTTACTGGCAATTTTTGAGTCACTCATAAGGAAAAGGCCCTAGCTTCAAGATTGAAAGATGATGGTTTTCCCAACCCTAACAACTAATGCATATTTTACATTTTAATGTTGCTTTATATTTGGACCATATGTGTTTTATTACAGCTCTTTCTTTTCCTAGATTTCTAATTGCCTTCCTTTCCTTTTTTCTCCATTTATCATGAGACTTAAAAAAAATATTTATTGTTGAAAGTATTACAGATGTCCCCCTTTTCTCCCCATTGACCCCTTCACCCTGCACACACCCCCAGACCTTCACCAAACTATTGTCTGTGTCCATGGGTTATGCATATATGCATGTAATTTCTTTGGTTAATCTCTCCCTACCCCTGACCCATCTTCCCTCTGAGATTCATCAGACTTTAGAGCAGCAGTTCTCAACCTGTGGGTCACGACACCTTTGGGGGTCAAACAACCCTTTCACAGGGGTTGTCTAAGACCATCAGAAAACACATATATAATTACATATTGTTTTTGTGATTAATCACTATGCTTTAATTATGTTCAATTTGTAACAATGAAATTGGGGGTCACCACAACATGAGGACCTGTATTAAAAGGTCGCGGCATTAGGAAGGTTGAGAACCACTGCTTTAAAGTATCCTCAAATCCTTCAAACCTTTAATTTACTCTAACCTACTCAGAGCACCTTATTTTCCCTCTGAAGACACCTCCCCTCCCCTCTGGCCTTCCTACTCTATCCTGTTCTGATTACTCTGCCTACTGCCACCTCATCCTATAGATTGCTCCTACTCTCTCCGAGTTGCATCTCTTGTAGTCAAGTTTATGCATTCATTTGGTTTATGGTCTCCCTTGTTACAGTACATTCCTTTGTAACTTTCTAAACAGAAGAAGCTAAATGTACAGGTCACTTAAATGACTTCTCTTGTGTCTAAATAATTGGATTAGATCCAATATTCTACACTGAAAAATCTTTTTACTTAGGCTCTTAAAGTCATTACTCCTTTGTCTTCAAGTGCCCATTGTTGTTGACAAGCAGATTGAAGCAAGTTTGACTCCCATTCCTCTGTAAGTAACCCATTTTATGTTTCTTCTCTCTCTTTACACACATTTCCCCCTTGAAATTTCACGAGATGTAATAAGCAGTGTTTGTTCTTTCATTGTAGTGGCCTATGTCTCTAGCATTCAGGCATGTTTGTCTTTACTAATTTCCTCCCTGTCTCCTTCTTTTACTTTTTTATCTGAAGACCTTGTCAATTGAACACTGGACATTTAAAGGGTTTTCAAGCCTCTCCTTCATTTAATCATATTTTGTTTCTATTTGTCTTGTTGCTGTTTGACATTTTGGGAAATGTCATTAACCTTATTATTCAATTCAAAATTTCATTTTTAATTCAAGAAATTATATTTTTAAAATATTTGGTAGATTCTTTTTATATTCTGGTTTTCTTTTCATGGCAGGCTTTTCTTTATTAGGTATATTTTCAGCTTCTTTTAGTCTATCATTTGGAACTTTTAAATTTATTTTTCTTGTTTTTACAGTGGTTCTCAACCTTCTTAATGCCGCGACCCTTTAATACAGTTCCTCATGTTGTGGTGACCCCCAACCATAAAATTATTTT